AAAAAATTTTCAGGGGATAGTTATCACGTTGTTGGTAGAGATGAATAGCCAAATTTTTTGGTTAGCGTTTCGGAGATTACTTGTCTAATAAAAAAATGGATACAGACACCAAACAGACAGACAGACGGAAACGGGAGATTACTTTTTCGTATTCTACAGGTCATGAAACGTCAAGAAAACATAAAAGTGGTCATTTGTCGGATGGGCTCGATTACTACACTTCCTTAGCTTACACTCGGGAAGTAAAAAGCCATAAACAGTAATGACAAAAATCACGGTGATAGAAAACAAAGTTGATAATTTAAGTATCTTTTTTTTTGAAATGTCTCTTAGTGAAATTAAAAAAAAATGGGCGTGGAAGAATGGGACAGATTAATAGAATACTTTATACTAATATTTTCCAATTCTCAGGATAACGGTGAATTGTAAAATTTTTGAAGTTTTGTACTTACCTACTCGTTGATTTCGATATACTGCAAGTCATGAAAATTAGAACATGATTCAATATAGAACAACAACCCATTAAATAATTGAGCGTTTAGGTTTTAAATCTTGTGAATATTTGGAATATGAAAATGAGATATCCTTTTGTGCAACGCATTGGAATCCAAGTCACAGCATGTATTTAGAAATCGAAAGAAAACTCTGTTTCAGCTCATAATCTACTATTTCTATAATTTCTAAATATAATGTCCCTTGTGATTTGGCTATATTACGGAGTGAACTATTGAAGAACTGTCATTTTTGTTAGTTCAACTGTAGTAATAATAAAAAATAAGAGACCCTTTTGCATTGCCTAATGAAAGGCAAAACTTATTTTGGTAGAAATAAACAAGTTTTTTTTTTATTTTAACAGCAATACGGAATAACTAAAAAATCGAAAAGTAAAGAAACTGGTGAAGACTAATTGAAAAATGCATACCATACAACAAGAACATAGCATAAAAACAAAATTAACGAATTAAATTAATTGTTGTAAACGCTCGCCTCCATTGGCGAGACTTGTCTCAGCACGCCGAATTAATGACGGCTGTAACCCAGCTATCATATCGGGATTTCCCCTAATCTCCGCTGCAGCATTACCAATCCGATTTATTTTTTAGATCTTGAACTGTATTTGTGGGAATTTTATAAATCAATTGTTTCAAATGTCCTTACAAGAAAAAATCACATGGATTAAGGTCTGGTGAGCTGGTGAATTCCTTCCTCTCCACTGTCTTGGAAAATGTTGATCGAACCATCGTCGCACTTCTCTAGCATTGTGAGGAGACACCACCTACCTTGACGGGGAGTTACAGGGATGTCATCTAGTAGATTTGGGAAATTTTCATTGAGAAATTGAAATAAGCCATTAAAAAAAGAAGGTAAAATGTAAGGACATGGCAAATCATTACCAACTGTTCCGGCTCATACATTGACACTAAACTGCTCCTCAGAATGCTTTCTTGGATAGCGTGACGATTTTCATCTGACCATATCTGCATGCTTCACGCGTTAAATATACCGTCCCTTGTAAATGTTGCTTCGTCTGTGGAAAAAATTATCGCTACAAAATCTGCCCTATTCCTCTCAAGTAACCATTCACAAAATCTCATTCGGCGCGGGAGATCTTCTGGCTTAAAAGTTTGAACTCGTTGAACGTGGTAAGGAATAAGGATAAAGTTCTTGTTCATGTAGTGTTCACTACACAACAAATGGCGAATCTCCTACGCGGTAAGATAATCTTCTCACGTTGATTCCTAGTTTTTCTTCGACGATGTCCAAAATTTCTTTGGCCGCATGTAGAACACGTTCTGTTCATTCCAGACCTCAGTCCTCTTATACCTACCTATATCTATAGATCTCGTCTTATCCAGTACAGAACTCGACATTACAGCTGAGCGAAATAATCTTCCTTTTGTGCCTGAGGATCATCACGCTGCGCTTTCGTTTACGTTTGAATGTAAATACTCATCAAAACATCGACAGTTCCTGACACCAAACAGTTGTAAATACATATAACTTTAAAAAAGTCAATTACGATGAATTATTTATTTAATATATTATATGATATATTCAATGCTGATTAGTCTGAAATTAGAGTAGTTGAAGCTGTTAATACTGTTTTAGTAATATTTTATAAATTATATTATAACATTCCTTACAAAATTCTGGACCTGTCTGTGCCTAAGTATTCTCCGAAAACGTCAAACTTTCCTCTTTTCTAACTACATTATTTGTATTTCTAATCTAATATTGAAGAAATCATATAGAAAAAAGTGGACGAAATACGAACGAAAATGAATTTTATTTTGAGTAATTTAAGGACTTCGTGTGTTATGCAAACAAATGATCAAGGCTGCTTATGCATCTTACTTGGAAAAAATTGAACATGAACTGCATATTTCTCCTACAGATTTGTGGAAACACGCTCAATCAAAAGAAGCTACATATAGAATTTCCGGCAAAACGATCTATGAACGAAAAATTTTTGAAAATCGACAACAGATTTTTGATATTTGTGCTGATCAATTTTCTAATCTTTGCGTCGACAAAATTAGCTTCAACGTGAGATACGTTACGGAAGATTTGCTTATCTCATTAATGTCAAAATTAAGCAACAAATCCACTACTGATGATGATCTTTTTCCCAGTTTCGTTGTAAAACATACCAGATGTATACTTGCTAAGCCATTGTCAATCATAATCAATTTGGCTATCGATAATATAGCAACATTTCCGGATGGTTGGAAACGAACACGAGTAACTCCAGTGTTTGAAAAAGGGGATCCAAATCAGGTATGCAGTTACAGATCAATTTCTATTTTGTCAAATTTTGCTAAAATTTTTGAGCTTTCCATCGACGAAAATACCGAGAGATCGAAAAAGAAATTAGTCAAAGCTGGATATGCACGAAAAGCCGTTTGTCTTAGTTTATAATAATTTTTTATTAAACGTCACGTTGACAAAAGTAATTTGCAATGTTATCAAACGAAATTAAAACTTTTTACGATGGACAACATTTTCAAGTGCTTCTATAAATAAATGGTTTTGTTTGTTGTTCATTTTGATTCATTTTTATGTGTTTTAAAACTAGGTGTCATAATTCTAATTTTAAACTATCAATTTGACATTTAATAAAAAAAATTAAATTACGACAAACGGCTTGTCGTGCATGGGCAACTTTGACTAATTTCTTTTTCGATCTCTCGGTATTTATAACAACGTTAAAGAATACCTCTTACCCAATCAGCATGGTTTTTGCCCGAAAGATCCATAGTTACCAACTTGGTGGTCAAAAGCCCAGTTTATTAGTGAAAAACTTGATTAACGTGGACAAGTCGACGTTATATATACAGATTTTTCCAGTGCTTTCGATATAATTAACCATTATTAATTGAGAAATTAAGCGGCTTTGGGTTTTCTCAAAAAATTTTGCAACTTATGATTTCCTACCTGACAAATAGAGAATACGGTTTTACGTCCAAACTTATGGGGCTACATCCGGGGTACCAAAAGTGTCAAATCTTGGCCTTCTTTTCTGTATTATTTTCATTAACGATTTATTATATCTTTCGGGTTGTGAAGTATTACCCTATGCTGATGACATTAAATTATTTTCAGCTATAAATAGTGAATTCAAAATTGTACACTTTCACAAAAATTATAACATGTTTTATGACTTTTGTAATCGTCATAAATTAAAACTAAAAATTGATGAATGTTATTTTTTAAGTTATACCCATAAAGCAGCGTGGATTTATTTGTCGTACGAGGCTTTTAGTAATGCATCAGTCTTATTGAAATTTCTAAGTATATTATGCTTTTGTTCTAATTAAACTGGAATGCTTATGCTTCCAATGTCTGGTATCCCATACATGCGTCACACTGTCTTGCCGTTGAACGAATTCAGAGACGTTTCTGAAAGAATCTCTCATCAAAATTGATTGAGTCTATCCAGAACGCAAAATAACTATAACTGCTCAGTTTACCTGGAAGCTAATACACAGTAAAATTGATTGTTCTGCTTTATTAAATCATTTTAATTTCATTTTACCCTGAGCTGTTTCACCGTATAGCATTATTTTTTATTTAAACACACCTAAAACTAATTGTCTGAGAAGAGCACGGTTTTATCACATATGTAGCAATGCAAATAAAGAGTTTAGTGATATTTTTTGTTATAAGTTAAAATCAAATAAGCGTATTTACTACTTTTTAGTTTTTAGCCGAAGTACTGTTTTCTGGGTATCACTGCTTTATTGTATTTTATTATTATTATTTTTTGTTTCTTTACTGACTTCTTTTTTTGGAATTTGAATCTTTATATTTTAGTAATTTCACTAGGTATGTAAGGAAAGTTAATTTTAATTTAAGCCAATTATTTATAATTGTCCTGTAAATATATAGTTTTAACGTTTTAACTGTTGGGCAAAAAACCTTATTATTATTATTATTATATATATTTATTTAAAAATGTGCTATGGGCTATATACATTACACGTACTTTTATTTTTTACAAATAATACTTTCAGATCCCAAATGGCGTTTTAGAAAAAATGAATAGCTACCAGTTATTTTATAATTAGTGTTACATGGTCCTGTAAAACTATTATAAAATGCGATAAATAAGTCATCAAGCTTGCGTCGAACAAGTAAGAAAGTTAACTTCACGTCCAAAAATTGTTACACAAAAAATTCTTGTTGAATGAATGAATAAATAAATTTTATCCTGTGCCGTGCGGTATTTTTTAAGTTTTTCTTTTAATAATATATAGATTCTTAAAGTCTTTTATGATAACCTCGAGTTTTAAGTAAAAAAAGTAATGTCGAGGCTTATTGAGTAAAGATAAAGGTTTGAAATTTTTAAAAAAGTCCCGCCACATTATTCCGTACTCATTAGTGTCATTCTCGGTGGGTAACATATTTCACTACAAAAATTGGCAGCAGGTGTCGCCACACTATGCAGCATTCAATGAAGTTAGTGACTTGTTTTTATGCAATGCATCATGGATCTCACCGCAAAGATTTCTGGGAGTGTGAGATGGTTTCCATTTTCAGTGACCAGTTTTACGCGGCGCATAACATCACCGCGAAGAAATAATTATTGAAAAATCAGTGTTTGTCCGGAAAAAAGCGCTTCGTCCTCGCTCGCCACAAATTGAACGTAAAAATGACGAAACGAAAATTATTCCAGACGAATGGAACATAATTCGATGGGAGCAGGTGTTGGGTTAACCACGGTGAAATTAAAACGTACATTATTTCAGGCAATATCGATGTTTTAAAAGATTGTAATGGTAATTCTCGCTAGTTGTTGTTATAGCCATTCACAATATACAGAGACGAAATGCAGGTAAATTATTTATTGGTTCAGTGTTATTTACAACTGTCATGAGTGGCTTTAAATTTTATTGCCCGTTGTAAAACTATGATCCTTTTACTTTCCCTTCTGCTTTGTAGTGGCTGTTGTAAACACCTCTGTCACTTTCTTCCTTGCTTCCGCAATCCCTTGCGCCCCAAAGGGGTCGATTTAACGAGCGCCTTGTTGTAGAGACAGAGACCGTTGGGGCTAGAAGAGGGCTCGAAGCGTGAGCCGTTATGCAGTCACGATGGCAGGAAAGCCTGAGCTGTCGGCCACCCCTGGTGTCCAGAATGTGGTAGTCTATGTGTCGAACGACAACTTCGCCCAAGCCTACGCCGTTGGGCAGAATGTGGCCCCGAACGGCCCGGGGGCGGCGTACGCGCACACCCCCCATTCCATGGCCGCCGTGGTGGGCCCCTCAAAGGGCTACGCGGACAAGGCGCTGCTCAAGCCCCCCGAGTACGCGGGCAACGGGCAAATAGTCAACGAGCCCCTGCACCAGCAAGGGGGCTACTTCATATCGCAGAACGGCTTCTCGCAGCCCTTTGGCTACGTCAACCAGGTGAAGGGCTTCGGCGGGGGCAACGGCGAGGTGCTGTCTGGGGAGAGACAAGCTGGCCCGGGCAGGCCAGACAAGGAGTGTGACGGGCATGACGCTTTCGTTGAGTCGAGCTATGTGACAGTCTTGGGGGCCGAGGGGCCCCCGCAAAGTGTGCGTTGTGATTCAGTGCGGTCGGAAACTGCAGAGTCGAGCTGCAGCAGTTTAAGTTCGGCTGATGAAGGGATGGTGGTAGTACAGAACCAGCCTTCTGAGATGGTGGTGTATGATTCAAGTGTGAGTGTTCGGCCTGGTGGTGTGGTGTTCGCTGTGGGGCCGCAGCACGCCAATGTGACTGTGGGCAGCCAACAGCCCTCCATTAGTGTGCCCTATGGATGGAAGAGGCTGCTCAATAACGGCTCCATCATGTACATAAGGTATGTTTAAAGTTATCAAACTCATAATAGTATGGTTTCTCATTTATAAAGCGTAAATATTTTTATGCTCAATAATGGATTGTGTTCTAAGGGTCATTCACATAAAAAAGCTTCGCGTGTGAAGTAGTAAATCATATGTCATATTTTTCATACCTGCTCATTTCACGTCACAGTTTTTGGTAAGAAGGTGTCAAAAGATGAGTAAATAATGAAAATGTTGTCTTGTAAGATTTACTGCTTCGGCTAGGTTACACTAAGAAAATCATTTACGTGTACAGGTTGTTGGTACTAATTGAAATAACGCAAACGTGCAACTCGAAGGGCTTTGATTTTAAGTTCAATTAATGCTCCTGATTTGACCTGGTGAAACGTCAGCCTATGAAAACCAACGAGGTGTCCCCGGTACACGCAACATAAGAATCAACGTAGCAAAATAATTTAGGGCAAGCCATGATTACGGATATCATCTCTTTATTTTAGCAAAAATAAAATTGTTTTTTTTCGTTACTTTTATACATATTTCATTGGAATTCTACCTAAATATATGAAAATATCAATTTCCTAACATTTATAAAAAACAATTCTTTATTTTTATGATATAACGAGTTATATCCCGAAAAATTTGCAAAATCGATTAGGTTGCCTTGATATTCCAAGACACAAATGCCTACCGTATTTATCGAGATTTGAGCTATCTTCAATATTAATTATATACCGTAATTATAGACCGTTTTTAAAAATTTGTAAATGGAGTAGAATTTTCCAATGAATTTTAATGGATTTATCCGAAAATATGATATCTTTCGTGTCGTCAAAACGGGACAATTCTGTGTAGAATAATTGTACCAAAAATAAATACTTCCACTCAGCAAAGAGTACAATTAATAACCCTAGGTAGGTTGAATGTCAAGGCTACTGGCTAGTATGTGGGTATGCTCCCAGTCGCAATTAAAACCATTTTTTATTTCAACTTCCTGTTCTAATTCTACTACATTAAGTCGTAATTAGTGCGCATTTGATTAAACCCACTGTGATTATAAACACTGTAATCAGGTTATGAATGGCATTATTTAATGTATGCTCTTTAATAAAGATTTTGCTAATGTTGGACATTTTGTCGTGTGCAATTTTTAGGAAACTGGAAGGTTCAATTAAATTAAATTGGATGAATGACTTTTCATTTGATTAGGTTCAGTAGGTGTTTCACAAAGGAAATTATACGTGTGACACAAATAAAGTCAAAAAAATCTTCAAACAACGGTTCATGTTACACTCTACCTCTGTTGGAGTTCAAAGCTTTCTAATTCCTGTCATTTTATCTTGATAATGTATTGCTCTTTCATCTTTTAAATCTGAACTTTCACTTCAGGATATTACATTGATCGTATTGAGTCGTGAATAATAATCACGTTTAATATTCGAGAAATTTGTTTATTCAAATCTCTTACATAAATCCATATTACACAAGTTAAGTGTGTGTATACGTTTTTTCATAAATGTTTTTTGATCATTTAGATTAGATATAATAATTGTTAATTGTGTTGTTGCTATGGTTCGATTTTTGTGAAATACTTTCAAAGTTTTCGCGTTTTATAATTATTATATGTAATTTGTTTTGTCATCAGTAAACGATTTAAGCATTTCTGTTTTTTAAACCTTAACTTGTGCGGAAACAATTTTTATCTTTTGTGTTTTAGGTTTTTCCAGGTTTTTTGTGCGTTAACATTTGTTATCTTCTTTTAGAAGTGTGAATATTTTTAATAATTAGCGTACCGAAGTTTCAATTATTGGAAGTTTTCTTCTCGTTTGATTTTTACAGTTTTTCATCTATTTATATATTGTATCCGTATTTTGTATTGTTCAAAATTCAATTGAACGTTAGAATCGATTCGCAATCACCTTACGATTAATGCACTTTTCACCTTCAGCACACGTTGATTCATTTAAATCGATTCAAAAATATTGGATCGTAAAAATTTTACGATTCATAATCGATTGACGTTACTTTCAAGTCTTCGAAGTCAACGTCAGCACTAACATGGTTTAACAAAATGTTCAACTGGCACACATTGTAAAAGGAACTTGAGATGTTAGGTCACATGGCAATTTTATTGGTAACCGAAAATGACCTTCAACATTACTCCACGTAAAAGCGCTGTATTTTGCGTGCAATTAAATACGTAACGATCATAATCGTTTTTATGTTTATATTGACGAGCTATTGCGCGTTCGAGAAAAAGGTAATTGAGTTGGGCTGCGTTTTTGAAATGACAGTAGTATAATTCTATTTTATGAGTGTCATCATTTAATAGTTGCCGCGTTAGCGCATTGTCGGTATAACATTTAGGCCACATATATCTAATAATTTTAACTTGAAAAAAATGACAACATGATATAATGTTAACACATGTTTTAAAAACTAACTCTAATTATCGTTTTTTCGAGCCACATAAATTATTTTTATTTTTGTCACGTTCTCTTTTTATAATATTATTATAACTAGTATATTAAAAAACAAGTTTAATGAAATGTAGAGTACGAATCCCAAAATTAGGAAACGAGTCGTCAGACGAGTTTCTTCCCACCTTTTTTTCCACTCCAAAATAAAAAGTGGAAAATTTTCATAATACTCCTAATACATTTTTATTAAAAAATTTCGAGTTATCTACAATTAAAAATAAACTAGACGAAGAGAATGATAACGTGAAGCCGATTAAAATCTGAGTAGTGAATATTAAAGATAGGGTATTTTTATTTTTTCCTTTTTTAGTATAAGTAAATTCACATATTTATTATGTTTGAAACGTCAATAGCGAAATGAGTTCTGCATTGCGTGATTGGTAGACGCTGTGAAAGTAATAACTTTGACTGCATGGCAGTTCAGGATCGCACTAGGTAGTAAGTGTATCCCTGTGGGAGTAGTGGGTGATTAGACTAAGCTTTAATTCAGAATTCTCATAACCGCAACTATAACAGATGTCAAAAATGACGTTTATGACACAAAACCCTGCGGAAGATCGGCATCTTGCTTCATAAATTATTTTTACAGTAATTTTATGAAGTTTTCATTTCAATAAACTTTGAAGTGAAGAAAAGTGCGACGAGGAACGAAAATGAATGTTTGTTCATAATTAATTTGCGTTCACATAAAATAACTTCAAAAGTTATTACCTCTATTGCCCGACGGTCTGTCATCATGATGTTCAATTTAGTTTGACTGTCTTATAATTACAGCGCTAATAAAAACAGCCAACTAATCGAATTAAAGGAAAAGTCATAAATCGCCCGTTTGTCGAACATAAGCGAGTAGATTTTGTGTGCTACAACCTTGAAAACGAATGTTAAGCCAATTAATCAGTTACGAAGGGGTGCTTTTTGTGCAGCTACTCTTTGTTAAAAAGGCCTGGAAAAGTCATTTTTTGTTTCCTACAGTTTCCGCCTCACGTAGCCCCGTCTGTCGGAGATCCAGCGTGGCCTCGTTTTCAGTAATCTTTTTTCTCTTGTCCTTTTCTGTCTTTTGTCCTACAGCCGGTCATAAATCCTTCACCATCCGAAGTCAGTTTCACAAATCCGAACGAAATTTACAGCATTCTATTATCCTGTGTACAAAGTAATTATGACTTTCACAATGCCCTCAAAGGAAGTCGAGGGTCCGTCTGCCTGCCGAATATCGACCTGGGTTATTATCTTTGACGAACGGCTCAAGCTGTAAAACTCGGGCATCTGTTTTGTGGCTTTTCGTTATTAGGTCATATTATGCAGGGTTTATGGTTGTGAATAATAATTCCGCCGATTTGTTTGCTCAACCTCAAGCAAACGACGGAAAAGAAGCTCGTTTTGCGGGGATCAGCTCAAGAGCAGATATGAATTTCAGTTAATTCATCCCGTTCTCTGTGTTTACTTTTATGTGTACATAAGCTGTTTGGGTAGTTTTGGGGTGATTAAAAAATGCTTTGGTATGAAATACATATAAATGAGGTGAGGTTTAGTGGGTGTGGAAAACAAATGCATTTTTTTACATTACCTTTCGTTCTATGGCGAGTTTACGGCACATTAAAATTTTTTGCTGTAATTGTAACATAGTAAAATAAAATAAAAAGGTAAAATCATCAAAACTTCCACCAGTATGGCTTCAAGCCCATATTACACCGGTGTACAAAAAAGGTGATAAAACAATGGCGGAGAATTATCGACCCATTAGTCTGACATCAACCTGTTGTAAAGTTATGGAACGAATAATTTGGAGACATCTTCTTCGATTTTTATATGATCACGACATTATTACATTAAATCAACATGGCTTCTTGCCTAAAAGGTCCACTGTCACTTGCCTACTTCAATGTGTTAATGAATGGACGTTGTCTTTAGAAAAAAATATTCCAGTTGATATAATTTATTTAGATTTCGCAAAAGCTTTTGATAGAGTTCCCCATCGTCGTCTTATACACAAACTTGAAAACAGTGGAATTCGTGGGCTCCTATTGCAATGGATTAAAGTATTCCTTTGTGGTCGCAATTTTAAAGTAAAAGTAGGCTCAGCTTTCTCAAATAAAAAAGACGTACTGTCTGGTGTGCCGCAAGGGTCGGTCTTGGGCCCTGTATTGTTTCTTGTTTATATATCTGACCTGCTAACTTCACTCAACTCACATCACGCTTTTTACACTGACGATGGTCGGATATACGGTAATTCCTTTTCATCTTCACGAATCATCCAACAAGATCTTCATACTATGTATACTTGGACGCACGTATGGTTAATGCCCCTAAATCTCCAAAAATGTTTTGTACTTCGCTTGGGTAAAAACAACCCCAACATTGCATACACTCTGAACAACTATGTTTTAGAATCTGTTCAGCAGATCAACGATTTAGGTGTCATACTTGACAAAGAGCTATCTTTTTCGGAGCATACCGTTCACATTGTAAAAAAAGCCAATGTCAGAAGTTATCTGTTGCAAAAGACGTTTACCAATCCGGACGAAGTTCTGTTAAAAACACTT